GAGAGGGGAGAGAAGGATCCACAGAAGCAGAAGCACGACACCGGCAGACCGGGGTGAGGGTGGCGACCGAATGGCCACTTGTGGAGAAATGAGGATTGTCCCTACTCGGCAAGGGCAAAAAAAACTTGAGAAAGCCCGTCTGCGGCGGGGTGTCTGCCCGAGAATGGGGCCTCACACTTCCCACTAACGAAAACCTGCAAAGACTAGCTAGCAGAGGGCCGACCGGGGCCTGGAGCGAGCGAGGAGAGTTAACAGAGGAAGCACTGGCTACGAGAACTCTCGATCTTCGGGAGGGAAACAAGGGAAAAAAAAAAAAAAAAGTGCGTGCTTTTTGTATCTGTTTTCCGGGAGCTCCGGGCCTAATGCAGATCCCAGCTCTGCCTCGGGTGCTGGCCAAGGAGGCCAGGCCTCAAGGGCCGGCTTGAGAACCCCACACGGGGGGCCCAGACTTCTCCTTCCAGGACCCTGGCATCGAAGGCCCCTCACCTTTGGTGGACTGCCCTGCATGCGGGCTTTCCAGGAAAGCGCTTCGGCTTTCGAAACTAGAAATGCCGATGCAGCTCCGATACAATGTAAGCCCGAGGGAGACTTCCTTTGCATGTGGAATTAAAGTTGGTGCAGTGAAAAATCTTTAAAACAAAAAGAAACTAAAAATAATAATATCAATAAGCAAAGCTTGGCTTCACCTCTCCTCTCTCTCTCTCTCTCTCTCTCTCTCTCTCTCTCTCCCCCCTCCCTCTTTCTTAATGATCCTCATGCATATGCCAGAAAGTCTTGGCTGCGAATGTAATAGAATACGATTTGATACACTGAAAATTACTTACATTTTAAGTGCTCCTCATTAAAGTAAACCACTTAAAAGTGAATATTCCATTTTACTTTAAATAAAAACGTCTACACAAACACCAAAGTGGCAGCGATTTTAGGTCTCAAACTTAAATAACCCGCGAAGGTCAGAGTTGAAACAGACCGAATAGTCGCAAGAGCTCTGGCTTTATTGAAATGCCCTGGTATTGTTTCCCTTCGTTCCCGAGTAAAACAGGCGTGGAGAGAGTCAGATCCGCCACTAGCGGGGCGTCGGCCACGCGTCGGTGGCGCGGTGGCAGCGCCAGGTTTCTGCAGCTGGGCCGAGGCTGGCAGGCACGGGCCACAGCGCCCCCTCGCCGCCCGCCTCACGACTCTAGCCCGCATTGCCTTCAGAAAGCCACCGGACAGGACAGTGTCAGGAGGGCACCTGGGCCTTCGAAACCAATTTTATGCCTAGGCAGACCTTCCAATCCTGTCCTTAATATCTAGTTCGCCAGTGGCCTCCACTGAAAACGGGAGCAGCGTAAATGAGTCGCTATTCAGGGCTGACTCTAAATATTTCGGCCTCTGCCCGTGCGAGGGCCATGTTAACAGAGTTTGCTTTTAATGCTGCTCCATACACGGGGAGGGTCACAGCCTGGGTAACAGTCACAGTGGTCGCTTTCCAAGCAGTCACAGGATTTTGCAGCATGTCACACATTGTTCACCCCCACTAGAAAAAGCAGAAGCCAAGCACTAAGATTCCTAAGAGCCTGGGACACCTGAACACCCTCCTACCCGCCAGCATACACCCAGCCCCTTTTGCAAAGGGAAGTCGCTGGGCCCTGGGTCTCAGCGGGGCTTAGGCAGAGCAGTTTGAGGTAACCAACCCTGTCACCCCAGCAGTAGTGGGATTGTCTGCGCAGGCTCCACACTTGGAAAGTGAATTTTCCTCATTGATTTTTGTTGTTGGCGGTGGTTTTTAAAGATCAAGCCAACTTTAACCTAAGAATAGAAGAAAAAAAAATGGCGTTTTCAGAGTTAGGGAGCATTAGTGTGAAACGGAGTTTAAATTTCCCCAATAACAATGGGAGCTCATGAGTTAATGTTTCTGTATAGGCATTTTAATTTGCCACAGTCACCTCCAATAAAATCGGCATGTAGTCAGATTCGACTGTTTAATTGCACAAGGTAGGCCGTTTTTATTAGTAACAGACATTTTAGATTTTGGTGGAGGATAATTGCAGGAGGAAATGCAGGAAGGAGCCTTGGTCCAGATAGGTAGTAGTGAGTGAGCAAAAGGCCGCACTTCCGGGCTGTCTGTGAGCAGGAGACCTTCCAGAGCCAAGTCCAATTGTCTGGTTATGTGGTTGATTAATGTGCGAGTCAGCTGTGTGTAGGCAGCTGGGTTGTTTGTCTGTTTGTTTGTTTAATGGTGACTGGCTGCTTTCTGTTCCACACCTGGCAGACGTCAGAAGGGAAAGATGGGGCAGACCCCACTGACACCAGGGCAGGACATGAATAGTAGAAAAGCTCCAGATCCGGACAATCATTCCCCAGGTAAAAATTAGATACTCCGTATTAAAAAACTTAAAACCGTCTAATTGGAAGCTAACCGAATGCCTCAGCCTGACCTGTGGTTGTTTGTTCTCCACTACCCGAGGTCTCATTAAGGGCCTCCTTCCCAAAGGAATTTCTTCCCCAGGAAAACAGGACGTGCTGATCTGGCTCCACCCAGCTGCCATACACTGGGGTGCTGGGGTGGCACCCCCTTACCCCTTTCTCCCTCTCTTTCTTTCTTGCCCCTGAACAAGGATGGCCCATCCGGGGTCTGTACGGTAGAGGCTAGGCAATGTCTCGGCCTAGCTCAGGGTGTGTGGGAAGTGGACTGTGCACATGCACTGAGAATTTAATGGTCCGACTGGTGAACGGGGCTTAGAAGGTTTGCAAGGGAAAGCGGGGCCCTGAGGGTTTAGTGTGGGGGGTGGACGTGTTGGAGTAGAGTGCCCGGGAAAGTACATGCCCAAAATGATACACTTGCCTGTCTGCCCCTCCGGGGGAATAACCTCCGTCCATCACTGCAATAGACTCCTGGTTCCCGGGACCTGGGAAAAAACAAAACGCAGCCTGGCTGCGGACCACGTTCTTTGGGTGTCATGGATCTGGCTGCAGTAGGAGCGCACTGCCCAGGCCCACGCAGAAGCTAGACACTCGCCAGCGGGAGACCTCTGCGGTCCTCAGAGACCACCGAGGATAGGACCGCGGCAGATCTGAGCCCAGGCCCGCGCGCCAGCAAAGGCGTCCTCTTGCACCACCTAGCAGGCTTCAAGGAAGAGACACCTGTTGGGCGGGCGCCCCCTCCCGGGCCAGCTCACACCTGACCCCTACGAGTCCCCGAGCGCCCCCCATTGGTGCTCCTTCAGGTTCAGTGGACCGGTGCCCTCTCTGGCCACCACCCCCTCACATGGGGAAAGGATGCAGGTGCAGGCGGGAAAGTTTAGGGGCTGGGTCCCAAGGGCTTGTGTAACCTCTTAGCCAGAGGGACCCGCGAGTCAACTCCTGAACCTCAGGTTACCTGAGCCACCTCACGGCTGCGCCACCTCACCAGCTGGCCCAGGTCCCTTCTAGAAGTGGCAGTGACAAGTAAGAGGCAACTCTTCTGGCAGGAGCCTTTCCCAAATCCGAAGAGGCATTCAACTTAACAAAACAAAATAAAAAACTCTTGCGGCCAGAGCGGCGTTTGTGGAGGCGAATCACCCACTGGCTCGTTCCAGGCGTTAACAGGCATGATGTTCCTAACAAGGCCCGAAAGCTTCTCCGTGGGCACGGGCACGAGTCTCGCCTCGGGGCCTCCCATAGCTTCAAACCAAACGCCCGGGTTCCGAGTCGATGCTTGGCAGCACAGGCGCCAGGAGCAGACGACCAGAGGCGAGGCCAGGCGGGCAGAGGACCGTAGAGATGAGGGGTGCCCCGCAAGTGTGCAGGCGTCTCCGCACTGCCCTCCAGCTTCCCGCGGCTTCCGCAGCGGACGCGGGACGAAACCTGGGCCGCTCATCTTCAGGGTGGCGAGGGGTGCCCGATCCATCCTTCCCCCCGGTGTGGCGGACCTGGCCTGACTGTGGGAGGCCTTGGCTGACCTGCACGAGGCCGGCAAGAGCACCCGGGGTGCCTGGATGTGGCCCTGGTAGTAAGGAAGGCGCCCGGGCCGAGGCGGGAGCCGGCGGCGGCGGGGTGCGCGGACGTGGCTGGCTGCGAGGACTTGGCAGCGGGAGGGGGGGCGCTACGCCCAGTTTGGCCAGGCCGGGCTTCAGCGCTGCCGGCCGCGGGCTGGGGCGGGAGCCGAGAGAGGCCGCTGCGCGACAAAAGCCTTCACGTCCCTCCTCCCGCCGCCCGCCGCCTCCCCTTCGTCCTCCCCTCCCTCCCCTCCCGCCGCTCTCCGCCCCTCCCCCGGCCTGCGCCAGGCCCGGGCGGCGGGCGGAGCAGGGGAGGGGCGGGCGCCGGAATATGCAGATGAGAGCGTGACGGACAGCTCGGCGTTCCAATGTCCCTCGGAAACTCGAGCGCTCCTTCCTCAACTCCTCACTCCCGACCGCAGACTCCCCCAAACCCCGACCGCCGGCCTGGCGCGCGGCTGCGCCCACCGGCTCCGCGCCGCCGCCGCCGCCCCGCCGCTCCTCCGGCCCCGCGGTGCCAGGCTCGTGCCCAGCCCAG